TTAGAAAGATGCTTTGTCGGTTAAAGAATCAATCCTGACATTGGAGCCTTCAAAACAAAACAACAATTTATTTTATCTAATACCCTGTCTGCGATGATTGTCAGGTCAAATATATAGATGGGTGAAAGTAGTAGAACAGTGTCAGTCACTGAGTCAGACTTAGCGAACATAAAAACCTAGCAGCGAAATCTAGATTGGTTGACGCGAATAAGAAAGATAAGAAATCTAGAGAATAGTTCAGAAGCTACCGCAACCACTACATGACATGCAATTACACACAACCTACCATACAATAGGCTGGATGAGATGGGACAAGATGACAGTTTTGAAATCGAATGTAACAAGATGGAGGGAGGGAGAGATCGATAACAGAAACTTTGTTTATCGAATCAAATGCAGATCAACACGTGTAATAGGAATGAATCAACACTTGTCCAGCCAGATATCTGGAAAATTCTACCACCCCAATGACGACGACAAATAGGAGAGAACAAAGAGGACAATGGAAAACACAAATTTCGAAGTCGTGTGATCATAATTCATATGATTATCAACAGCATTAATGAATTGTGGTCGAAACTTTGTCGTCCAGTAAATACCAATACTGTTTCAATCACTCACTCACTCACTCACTCACTCACTCACTCACTCACTCACTGAGTAGCTGTGTGATATATCCATCTAATAAACAAACTCATATGGAGAACGTGTATTCATCAGTATGTCAACTAATGTGTATTAAAAGTGACATAATTAGTGACAATAATAATAATAATAACCGGTGTGATCTGGAAAGGATGGAATCAATCGATAGAACATCGATATCGATCTCATGTCACCTAGCAGAGGTTGTTTGGAAAAATGAAATCAACTGATAGACCAAGTGTAGAGCCTCATATCACCTGCCATTTTCAGGAGAGAATTATCCGGGTTCAACTTGAAAGCGCATATTTTGTATCCTGTAGCAGACTGCTTGACGTTGAGACAGTATTTCGTTGCTATGGGGGGTAGAGTTTCTTCTGTCACTGTATCCCGATGGTGTCCAGTACTATGTCTCGTGCAAAATCAATGGTGTTTCCTGTTTCTGTTTGGTGCAATTCGCCGACGTAGTTGATCGGTTGGTTCATCTCTGTTCTCACTGTGACAGCATACATGATATTTCAACGTCCGCCGTTAATCACTCCTTCTATCCATTTACCGTGTCCTGCTCTGTGGTTTCCAGCCAATACAACTGATCTAACTGTGGAGTAATTCCGGATGACTGGCGAATTAGCTACAGGTTGGCTAGTTGTTAGCATGTCGTGTATCACTCGAAGCTGCCTTCCTATTAGTTCTTGTACCTCACCTGGATTATTCATACGGGCGAGAGTAGAGTTCCTGTGGACAGTTGAATGAGCACACGAGATAGCTATCAGGCTAAGCGACTAAACTTTTGATTGTGAATGGAATATGAAATGATGTCTGGAGGATGGTTGTGTTGAATGTCGTTGTGTATGTGGGTCACAAAAGCTGTCTTCGTATTCAACAGTAATACAGTCTTGGCGTTGGTGTTGCTTACACACATACACACTGAGAGGGTCGAAGTTCAAGTCAAAGAAACAATCAGTTCCAATATAAGTAGCCGCCCACAACAAATCACGTGCAGGGTGGTCACCAGGAGTGGTGATGAATAAACTCGTGGAGAAATCTAAAAGATCACTTCAATTCAAATTGAAGCATGCGCTGAAGGAAGATGTCACCTAGTGGGGTGATGAAAGATTCGCAAATTAACTACCCAGCTAGCTCAGAGAAGACAACCACATGAAAAGAATTTGCTTTGATCATTTCCTATAAAGGCTTTTCAAAATCCGTGTGTGATGAGGGATCTATCTCTACTTCCTGACGGTGATTTTAGAGTGTCTGACGGTGTAAGCAAAATATTCAATTCATAACTGGTAGTCACCAAGCTTTAATCAAGTCTGATACACTTTTCGGAAGTTCTGCACCTCTAGTGACTGACAGTCTTCTTACTCAGACTCGAACCTGGCCAGAACTTATGGTTTCAAACGCCTGGTTACTCAACTGGAACAGCCACCTATTCATCCTCATCATAAAATAATGAATATGTGAAATAAATGAAGTGGAGTCATGCATTATCACTGCCAGTGGGGTAGTTCAGAATAGCTTGTCAGTTTCTACATATGTGAGAAATTTCGACGGTGTTTTAAAAATGGTAGAAAACAACAATCGCTTATCACCAACTATCGACGACTTCCATCCCTAGATGATGATTTGTGATGAGAACGTAGCTAGACCTTGAGATCTCACTTCAAACATTCAACGATGCCCACCAAAACATCGACTTTACTCTTGAAGCCAAATCCGACGAAATGTTGTTCCACTTCCTCGACGTCCATCTGACAAGAAACGCCAACAACTCTCTGAAAACATCCATATAAACAAAGCCTACATGGACTGGACAATTCATCAACGTTCAAAGCTTCGTGCGCCTAAGCAGAAAGAAGAACCTGACTTACGCTCTTTCCACGAGGATTCGGAGGATATGCAGCGAGGAGGTGATTGATGAAGAACTGAGTAATCTCCGAAGAACCCTGATGGAAAACGGTTTCCCATCCTGGTTCATAGACAAGAATCTCGAATCTAAGAAGATTTCGCAACAAGTTCAATCCGTCTCGAAGAAGATAATTCTGCACAATCTAGAATTCAAAGGAGACATTGACGCCTGTCCTAATCTCTGAGGAAGACATACTTCGTCGGAAGCCTACGACTAACGTTTTTCTGCAAGAAACTGTTCAACCAGAACGCGAAAGGTAAGCGGTCGCATTGAGCCATCCCAACGTGCATATACCGTTTCTCTTGCTTCCGCGAGACTGGCTACATCGACCGTATCATTCGCCGACTTGAAAAACGCGCTCGTCAACACTATCCAGCCTGACTAGTAAAACGGAGAACGAAAAGGTGTTTGTATAGTTCAGTGACAGAACATCTGGTCGCCTTTCGGCGCCTTTCGAATACTCCTTCAACAAAATACACAAGATTCGATCAAACTTATCAAAGGGAGTAAAATTAAGACATCTTGGCATAGACAAGGCACTAGGAACGCTATATATGCAAAAGAAATACATTCAACCCTCGTCCAACGCTGACGTGGCCACCATAAACAGGTAATTTTTCTAATAGTGACTATGCCTTGACTTCCTTAAACAAACTTCCTGTTTATTCATGTTATTTTAGGTGTTTCTCCTAATCTCCCCTCCTATTTACACTACCATACTTTCATATCCGAACTTCCTGCTTATTTCGTCATTCTATTATTTCTACATATTTAATCCCTCATTGCATAGACAGTTGTTCGCCACATTTGTCATGATCCTACTAGATTTTGTTTATCCAAACATCCTGTCTAACTATTGTCGTTATTTCTACATTTCTAACCCGCGATTGCACAATCAATGTCAGTCATCCTAGCAATTATGATGCTACACTTTGTTTGGGCTTTATCCGTCTCGCCACCGTGTCATGTCATTTGCATTCCTAATTGTAATTTTTGTTAATTCGACCCTTGACCAGAAATAATTCTGGAAGTTTCCCATCCATTTGTGATTATGAATACACGAATGTACAGCCTAGTTAACGAAGACTTCATCGAAAAGAAAGATTTCTTCGCAGAAACTGAGCAAATTAGTTTAGACAGTGGGGAATACAAGGAAGTCAACTTCAGTCCAAGTCTGGTCACGATGGGGATGACCTCAGGTTCCCCTATCTCTCTCTCTGTCTCTGAATACAGAGTTCTGACTTTGTTTAGCTTCTTAAGTCAACAGCTTCAGTCAGGTATGTGTGGAAGAGTGGTCGTACTGTTTATGATAATGACTGACGGGTGTGATGAATAACCCTGAATAATACGTTAACGTTAATCCGATGTCGTGTATCTGTTTAGTGTGATAGAATCGAACTTTCTATGCACCTAACTTCACTCTTTCTATATTAGGCTGGTGAATGTTCTCCGATCTGTAGACGAACGTCATGATGAAGTGTCCACCTCAGTGTCAATATTGTTTTGTTCCATTGCAGACTAGTCGCTCGGCTTACATGTTTGCAATATCCAAAGCCAACATGGGTATTATTATTATTGGGAAAAAGTGAAGTGCCAATGGTGAAGAGAAGGCCATTAATTTCCAGGTCTACAATTAGAGGGAGATACTACTCCTGAAGAGATTCTCTCCCCAGAAGTCTAACTAGAATGATAAAGAACACTTCCTAGTCTGGACTTATCTCTCTTCGTATCTTTCAGTAGGCGTTCGATGTTCAACCAGAATTTTGAAGTCGTCCTACCGATGATGATGATGATAATAATACGTCCTCTTCCTAATGTATTTTCCATCTCAACCATCATTCTCTTGGTTTAAGTTGTATGAGGGGCGTACGAAGAGGCGGGTTTATCCATTGGATTCAGGGGCATCTTCCAACCTACTACACAAAGGGTTCAATCAAATCCATGAAATGTTCAATACTTGGTGGATAGAGGATGTCGGATTGACACAACCACAGCCTACAGGTCTACATGTATCTTTCCGGCCATTTCATCCTCAAAAGAAGCTTTACAGTCACATTCCGTAAGTATATTTAAATACATATAATTATTATTAGTATTTAATTTAACACATCAAGTTAGGAGAATAAATGATTAAATCGTTGACAAGATATATTTTCTGAACTCCTTGTTCTTTTATAGATGTCCAGATAAAGTTCACTTTTAACAGTTTGAAAACATTTGGGCATTGGGTATATGTCGTGCTAAAACGAGATCTACACAGTTCATTCTTAGACAAAATAAAAAACAATCTATCTCCCAGAATCCAGTTTATTTAGGAAGTAGGCAGAATCAGACGTCGGTGAACAGTCTGGCATTTCTAGACTGGCTGTCTAGTGAAGAGGAGGGAAAACGGACATTTTGGTGTATCCATATTCAGGAAGAAAATCCATTACAGAAAATATTTAGACTTCGGATCATCACACACCAGCAGTACTGACTGACTTCATATTGGAGTTGAAATTCCGGATCTTATTTTCATTTTCAGGCTGAGTAGTGCTGTTGACCTCCACACAGACTTGAGTATAATGAAAGCTTTCTCGATCGTCGCTGGTTTGATATCCTCGTCACTTCCACCTGTAGTTAAAACGATACTACGCAGGTACGGGCGTAAACGAGGTTGTTTCTTTCAGGTTCCTCCCATTGATGCTGGCTGATTTTTGTCTGTTGTCTGTTGTTGATGATGTTGGTGTAGGCCAGGAATCTTCATCACCTCTATGTTAACTTGGAGTCCTCTCATCTCTGGATGCTTGTTCTGCCAACTTATTGCTTTTCGAATCGAAATCATTTATTTCGCGATTCGAATTCCAAACAAGTAATAGAGGTTAATAAAGCAGGATTTAATGATGGATTCATCAAATTTCGGTAGAACTCGTCAGCTGAATACTCGACATACACGGATATATGCATACTTTTGAAATTGCATAGGGAGATATACGACTGATAAGTAAATAATCTACATTGAATTAGTCATGCAGAAAGACACGTTCGAATGTTTTCCAGGTCATGTTCAAATAGATAAGGGGAGAGAGAGAGTATGAGAGATCAAAATTAAGATAAATTGCATTACGCTTCAATTACATCACTTAGATAAACAATTAGTCATTAGGGAATATAACGAGAATTGCAAACAGACTAATATCGATAGTAATAGTTTTAATAACAATAATAATAATAGTGTTGAAGTGAGTTAAGATAATCTTACGGATAAAGCACAGATTTAAATGAATCAAGAATAAAAATCATGATAATAATAATAACAATAATGGTAAGAAGAAGAGGTAGAAAAATAGTAGTAACAAGTAGAGAATAATAAGTAAAGCGTATTACCTTGGTAGATTCAGAGTGAAGACCATCTCCTTTTGTATACAGAGAGCTGGTTTGTAAATTCGAATTGCACAAGCCTCTGCAATTGCAAGCATCTTCTTGTTTGTTTGTTTGCTGACGATGGTGAATGACTTGACGGCGTCGATATCATGTCCGTAATCTACAAGGGGTTTTGTTATTGAGGATTTTGGGACTTTGCACTCAGCTATTTTCAACCATTTTGGCGAATGCTCCATCGTTCGAGTAGATAATCGCCTTTCTGTACGACCTATGTATTTGCTGCCACAAACACACTCAAATTGATATATGCAGTTTGAAGTGTCGAGAATTGGTGACTGGTCTTTCCCAGATTGTTGAAGCACTCGCTTGGTGGTGTAAAGGATAACAAGTTTTGCAGCATAATAAGTTCTCTTGATGGCTTTGTCGAGTCTTCGTTTCACTTCTCCATGTACGTCATCTCCTTTGAATGGCAAATTGATATAGACAGGTTTCTTTGGAACCGTCTGAATTGTTTTGCAAGGGGTAGTTTCTTTGAACTTCTCAGGATATCCATTCTTACATAAAATATCCTTCAGAGATTTTATTTCATGTTCAATAGTACTGTCAGAACAAATTTTTCGTGCTCTATTGAAGAGTGTTCTGACTAGGTACTTTTTGTACTGGATTGGGACAAAGCTCTTGAAATGCATGTACTGTCTTGTCCATGAAGACTTTCTAAATATAGATCTTTCGATTGTGCCATTATTCATTTTGGTCATAAGAACGTCTAGAAATTTAATAGTACCGTTTTCCTCGTGTTCTACTGTGAAATTGAGATTTGGATGGCATGAATTGAATTTTATCAACAGGTCTTCCGCCTTTGATCTGCTTTCGCAGACAATAAAAATGTCATCAACATATCTTAGGTATGCATCTGTTTCTTGTATATGTTGCTGCAAAGTACAGGTTTCTAGGCGTGATAAGAATAAGTCGGCGAAAAGTGGTCCCAGAGGGCTTCCCATTGCGACACCATCAACTTGACGGAACAGACGCCCGTTGAATTGGAATTGGACATTTTTAGTACATAAATATGAAGAGTTCAGGGTTGTATTGATGAATTGTATACAGGAAAGGTTTGTTCAGTCTCTTATTCTACCTTGGCCCTAACCTCTTCACTAATCGTTCCTTGTAAACAATTTTTGATTTTCTGTTTTGTTCTTAATTTGTAATTTTACATTTAGTTTGCTTTTGTTTTAATAAATAATTCACTATTATCAGTTTCATATGCTCCTTTTGTGTACATTTTCACACCCTCTTCACACTTGTTAAATTGACACTCAACTACCACCTTTATTCTCACTATTCAATAGCAATTTTAACCTTATCATCAAACTTCTATCTTTGTTCCGTTGAGTACCGTGTAATTTACAACTCTTAATTTTCACTTCTAAAGCCACTTATGGTTAATTATATCAATCTGTCTATTTATTGATCGTTATTCCAGCATAACTGACAATAGATCTATCGTGTCTGCCCATTAACTAAGCAAACTATGTATGTACGACCTTGGTCACGTGATATTACAACCAATCAGAATCCAGTATGGGTGGGAGTGGTAAGAAAAAACACCTTATCTGTCGTCTGATTGGTTAATGTGTGTTAGTCGAGTTATTTTCTATATACTCTTGTATTGATTGAACAACAACAGTTAATTCACACACACAATTTCATACTCTGTCGTACTTTTCCACTAACAACACTTTTGTGTGACAGTTAATTTTCCTTGTTCGAAAATACTCGTATCTTCGTGAAGGTGAGGGTCTTCTGATTTTCCTCTTTCGCGTCAGGACAAATTAACTACTCAGAAATACCAATCTGTACACGTTATTGTCCGCCTTATATCTGATTAGCGTATATTCACACTCGGTCACACCATGATATCGTCAACGTCCCCATATTATATTGGCGACGACTTCCTAACAAGACGCTTTCCTTAACTTTGCCATCAAGAAGCGAAACGATTACAATTGAACTATTAGAGACAAATTAGAGATATAAGAACAAGGATAAAGGGTTTTCTTGTGTTTCCCAATGAATGAAAAATGAAACGATAATGTCGTTTTTTCCGACGTTACGCTATATAATGCTTGTAGCTTTATCAATGTATTATTGAACCAGAATTTACAAAATCCACTCAGCTTATCTATAACAACTGAATAATGGTTGCTCAGCATAGGATTACTTTTGCGTTGTCGAATTGGTCCATTGGTAAAGATAACAAAATCAGGTTTAGATTGTTGGATGAGATCAGTGTGTAAAATTATAAAAGCACTGTGTGTGTGTGTGTGTGTTTACATAGTGAACTTGCTTATCACATTCATGTTGATTTCGTCACTTCACGGGGAAGGTGAGAGAGGTGCTGTAACCAGGTCAGATTTTGATTTAGTCCGTCATTCCTTTTGGGTTCAGACAATTTGGATTCCACTTGATGATATGAAGTGCTTCTGATGATATGTGACATTCTTTGTGATTTGTGAAATGCTTTTTCCGGATGACGATTTCAATATTGTCTAAATCAATTTTGTGGCCTGATTCTATGGAGTGTAGGCGAGCTTTGACTGATGATTTTTCCAGCTTTTCTATTTCGTTTTGATCGGAAAGATGCTCTACGGTGTTCATTTCTTCTGATTTTGATTTCTCTCTAGCGATGTTTGTCCGACGTATATCGCATCACATTCCAAGCAGGCATTTTATTTCATAAACACCATTAGATCGAGAATGTTTAAGGATTTGGTCTAGTTTATTGAGTAATCTTCTGATATCGTCCGACGTCTCCGTTCTATTTAAAATGACAACTGTTGGGGTCCACGTTTTCGAACATACCTAATGTCAGTGTTGATTGTATTGATGAAGTTCCTTGGGAAGTTGTTTCACTTGAGGAGAGTTTCAGTAATATTTCATATTTCTTCTTCTTTTTTCTACCTTCTTCTCCGTTAACATCAGAGAGTGCGCTGGTCTAAGAAGAAGTGAAACAACTGATACTTTGGCGCTGCTGGTGTGTGATGATCCGAAGTCTAAGTATTTGCTGTAATGGATTTTCTTCCTGAATATGGATACACCAAAATGTCCGTTTTCCCTCCTCTTCACTAGACAGCCAGTCTAGAAATGCCAGACTGTTCACCGACGTCTGATTCTGCCTACTTCCAAAATAAACTGGATTCTGGGAGATAGATTGTTTTTTATTTTCTCTAAGAATGAACTGTGTAGATCTCGTTTTAGCACAACAAATACCCAATGCCCAAATAATTTCAAACTGTTAAAAGTGAACTTTATCTGGACATCTATAAAAGAACAAGGAGTTCAGAAAATATATCTTGTCAACGATTTAATCATTTATTCTCCTAACTTGATGTGTTAAATTAAATACTAATAATAATTATATGTATTTAAATATACTTACGGAATGTGACTGTAAAGCTTCTTTTGAGGATGAAATGGCCGGAAAGATACATGTAGACCTGTAGGCTGTGGTTGTGTCAATTCGACATCCTCTATCCACCAAGTATTGAAGATTTCATGGATTTGATTGAACCCTTTGTGTAGTAGGTTGGAAGATGCCCCTGAATGCAATGGATAAACCCGCCTCTTCGTACGCCCCTCATACAACTTAAACCAAGAGAATGATGGTTGAGATGGAAAATACATTAGGAAGAGGACGTATTATTATTATCATCATCGGTAGGACGACTTCAAAATTCTGGTTGAACATCGAACGCCTACTGAAAGATACGAAGAGAGATAAGTCCAGACTAGAAAGTGTTCTTTATCATTCTAGTTAGACTTCTGGGGGGAGAATCTCTTCAGGAGTAGTATCTCCCTCTAATTGTAGACGTGAAAATTAATGGCCTTCTCTTCACCACTGCCACTTCACTTTTTCCCAATAATAATAATACCCATGTTGGCTTTGGATATTGCAAACATGTAAGCCGAGCGACTAGTCTGCAATGGAACAAAACAATATTGACACTGAGGTGGACACTTCATCATGACGTTCGTCTACAGATCGGAGAACATTCACCAGCCTAATATAGAAAGAGTGAAGTTAGGTGCATAGAAGGTTCGATTCTATCACACTAAACAGATACACGACATCGGATTAACGTTAACGTATTATTCAGGGTTATTCATCACACCCGTCAGTCATTATCATAAACAGTACGACCACTCTTCCACACATACCTGACTGAAGCTGTTGACTTAAGAAGCTAAACAAAGTCAGAACTCTGTATTCAGAGAGAGAGAGAGATAGGGGAACCTGAGGTCATCCCCATCGTGACCAGACTTGGACTGAAGTTGACTTCCTTGTATTCCCCACTGTCTAAACTAATTTGCTCAGTTTCTGCGAAGAAATCTTTCTTTTCGATGAAGTCTTCGTTAACTAGGCTGTACATTCGTGTATTCATAATCACAAATGGATGCGAAACTTCCAGAATTATTTCTGGTCAAGGGTCGAATTAACAAAAATTACAATCAGCAATTCAAATGACATAATAAACAGGGTGGTGAGACGGATAAAGCGCAAACAAAGTAGCATCATAATTGCTAGGAAGACTGACATTGTTTGTGCAATCGCGGGTTAGAAATGTAGAAATAACGACAATAGATAGACAGGATGTTTGGATAAACAAAATCTACTATGATCATGACTAATGTGGCGAACAACTGTCTATGCAATGAGGGATTAAATATGTAGAAATAATAGAATGACGAAATAAGCAGGAAGTTCGGATATGAAAGTATGGTAGTGTAAATAGGAGGGGAGATTAGGAGAAACAACTTAAATAACATGAATAAACAGGAAGTTTGTTTAAGGAAGTCAAGAATTATCTTCTTCGAGACGTATTGAACTTGTTCCGAAATCTTCTTAGATTCGAGATTCTTGTCTATGAACCAGGATGGGAAACCGTTTTCCATCAGGGTTCTTCGGAGATTACTCAGTTCTTCATCAATCACCTCCTCGCTGCACATCCTCCGAATCCTCATGGAAAGAGTGTAAGTCAGGTTCTTCTTTCTCCGTAGGCAAACGAAGCTTTGAACGTTGATGAATTGTCCACTCCATGTGCGATTTTAGTATATGGATGTTCTCAGAGAGTTGTTGGCGTTTCTTGTCAGATGGACGTCGAGGAAGTGGAACAACATTTCGTCGGATTTGGCTTCAAGAGTAAAGTCGATGTTTTGGTGGGCATCACTGAATGTTTGAAGTGAGATCTCAAGGTCTAGCTACGTTCTCATCACAAATCATCATCTAGGGATGGAAGTCGTCGATAGTTGATGATAGGCGATTGTTGTTTCCTACCATTCTTAAAACACCGCCGAAATTTCTCACATATGTAGAAAGTGACAAGCTATTCTGAACTACCCCACTGGCAGTGATAATGCATGAATCCACTTCATTTATTTCACATATTCACTATTTTATGATGAGGAGGAATAGGTGGCTGTTCCAGTTGAGTAACCAGGCGTTTGAAACCATAATTTCTGGCCAGGTTCGAGTCTGAGTAAGAAGACTGTCAGTCACTAGAGGTGCAGAACTTCCGAAAAGTGTATCAGACTTGATTAAAGCTACCAGTTCTGAATTGAATATTTTGCTTACACCGTCAGACACTCTAAAATCACCGTCAGGAAGTGGAGATTGATCCCTCATCACACACGGATTTTGAAAAATCCTTTATACAAAATGATCAAAGCAAATTCTTTTCATGTGGTTGTCTTCTCTGAGCTAGCTGGGTAGTTGATTTGCGAATCTTTCATCACCCTACTAGGTGACATCTCCCTTCAGCGCATGCTTCAATTTGAATTGAAGTGATCTTTTAGATTTCTCCACGAGTTTATTCATCACCACTCCTGGTGACCGCCCTAAACGTGATTTGTTGTGGGCGGCTACTTATATTGGAACTGATTGTTTCTTTGACTTGAACTTCGACCCACTCTGTGTGTATGTGTGTAAGCAACACCAAAGCAAAGACTGTTATACTGTTGAATACGAAGACAGCTTTTGTGACTCACATACACAACGACATTCAACACAACCATCCTCCAGACATCATTTCATATTCCATTCACAATCAAAAGTTTAGTCGCTTAGCCTGATAGCTTTCTCGTGTGCTCATTCAACTGTCGACAGGAACTCTACTCTCGCCCGTATGAATAATCCAGGTGAGGTACAAGAACTAATAGGAAGGCAGCTTCGAGTGATACACGACATGCTAACAACTAGCCAACCTGTAGCTAATTCGCCAGTCGTCCGGAATTACTCCACAGTTAGATCAGTTGTATTGGCTGGAAACCACAGAGCAGGACACGGTAAATGGATAGAAGGAGTGATGAACGGCGGACGTTGAAATATCATATATGCTGTCACAGTGAGAACAGAGATGAACCAACCGATCAACTACGTCGGCGAATTGCACCAAACAGAAACAGGAAACACCATTTATTTTGCACGAGACATAGTACTGGACACCATCGGGATACAGTGACAGA